GCCCATTCTCCACCACCACTGATCCAGTACTCCTCCCACCCACCATCCCACCATCCCACCCTGCCGCTGTGACAGGGCATTCCCTTTTGTTCTCTTTCTCCTTTTGGGTGCTGTGGTTTGCAAAAGAGGCATTGAGTGGAAATCATGTTCGGTCTATAGTCTACTTTCAGCATGCATCTCCCATCCTGGGAGGATCCTCCCAACACCCTTTATTTGGTGCTCCCTTCTCTATCTGAGCTGCCTTTTCCCCTAGTGTGTGTGGCTGACCTCAAAGCCATGGAGTAATCCTCCTGGTACTTATCTCGGCTATTCTTGGATGTTAGTCTCCTATTTTATTACTTTATGTTCCCCAGATGAATGCAATGGCCCCCTATATTTTTAAAATGTAATCTTTTACGTTCATTTCACAATCCCTTTTCCAGGTTGTTCATTCCCTGCATACATTTTTTTGGGATGCTCTGTACCTGATAATGTAGGCCCCATTGTCCCTCCTTGCACCGAATATAACCTATCTAACCACTAGATATGAGCTCTAATCAAAGAGGTCTGTGAGGTCACCAGTCATGGAAGACCTTCCAGGAAGCACGGCTGGCTGGACACAGAGTCCACACTTGGAGGTTAACCCCCATCAGGTCCTTCTAGTCCGGTCAGGACACATGAGAGCCATGGTCTTGGGGGATACCAATCAACAGAACTAGAACTGGAGTTCTTTGGGGGTCTTTTTGAATCAGACCTCTGGAGATGTGGAAGGGTCCCTGAAGCTACAAGCACAAAGGTCAGGGTTCTTGCCTTTTATCTGGTGTAGCCTAGAATAACCAACCAGGACCCCGTCTTAGAGAAAGATAAGTCATTCGTGGTGTTTTTTCTATACCAGAGTCTCCCAAGAGTGATGTCCGACGACAAAAGCCCCAAATCTGGGTGGAGGCTCACCTTCACTGCAGCTACTCAGAATGAAGCACTCTGGGCTGGACAGGGGCCACTATACCTGGAAATTCAAGCAAGCCTGGGTCCTCTGGCCAGTTTGGGGTTTAGAAACCTCCTAAAGTGAGGAGAAAGTTGAACCACAAATTATCCCCCCAGAGGACACCCCACTAATATTCTTGGGTCAGGAGAGTTTTCTCAGAGGAAGTTCTTCTTGGGTAATCTCAGAAGCAGAGGCAAAGACTCCAAGCCTCGGACCAAGATGTGAGACAGCAGTGATGCTGCTGTGATTCTGCCTTCAGAATTTCTGGCTTCCAATAGTACAGCGGGTGGGGCATTTGCCTTGCATGCGGCCAACCCGGGTTCAATTCCCAGCATCATATATGGTACCCTGAGCACCGCCAGGGGTAATTCCTGAGCACAGAGCCAGGAGTAACTCCTGTGCATTGCCGGGTGTGACCCAAAAAGCAAAAAACAAAAACAAAAACAACAAACCAAAACAGAATTTCTGGCTTCCTTAGGCCAATCAAAAGTCATTCCAGCTTCCCTGCCAACACTGTAGAAATTTCCCTTTCCCACTGCCCTGAGGGGGATATGGCCTATGCTACGCTTGCCAGGTGAAAAATATATCCTGGTTTTATGATCTCTGAGGTAGCAGGACATTAGGGGAACTGGTACAGATATGGGTTCATACCTTATCCCTGCCACCACTGTGTGCACTGGTCCAGCCACTAGTATCCAGGATCTCAGTTTTCAAGCAAAGACAGAGACATCTTCTGCCCCAAAGATTGACAGGCCCAGGAAGATGAGATAAGCCAAAATTCTGATGTCTGGCAGAATCCTATGCACATCAAGGCCTATTTCCATCTGACTGTGATAACTTCCTTTTGAAATGGGGTACAAGGTGGCCACAAGTCCCAGTTGAGTCCAGAACCTGTGGGAGAGATACTCACAGGAAACTTCTTCCAGAGCGTTTTCTACTGGCCCTGTGGGAATGGGACCAATGATGAGTTATCCAACAGGTTCATCATAATCCCCACACCCACCCTCCCACAGTCCTAGGGAGGCCTGAGTCATTACACTGGCACTGTTGGATGCTGTTACTAGCTCTTTCCACACAGAGAAATCTAGGAATGTCTGCTCATGTCAAGGACTCAGCCCTGGTGTCAGGGGGGAGTTGTGGAGCTGCCCACAAACCCCATCATCAAACCCACAGATTTTTACATTCCACCTCCTAACTTGAGTGTCCATGGGCAGGCCACATCCTGGCTTGACCTTAGGCATCTAGAGAGAATACTAAGTCCTCTTACTTATATTCAAAAGCACACTTTAGGTAACACAGTATCAGATTAATACTGCTCCTCCATACTTGAGTTACAAAACTGATAAAGGCAGGACCTGTCTGTTTCCTCTCATCCTTGTAGTCCCTTCTCTTGTTGGTAACCTGCTAGGTGGCTCAGTGAATACTGAATGGATGAGCCTGCGACATCACTCAGTCCCATCAATAATATAGTCCTAAATCTCTCTGGAATATGCTCCCTCTTCAACATACATACTCCTAAATTCTTCTGGGCTTGGGAGATAGTACAGAGGATAAGGTAATTGCCCTGGATGCAGCCAACCCTGGTTTGACTCCCATCACTGGATACTGTCCACTGATCACCGCCAGGGGTCATTCCTGAGCACAGAGCCAAGAAGAATCCCTTAACACTATTTTATTTTGGTTTTAGGGTGTGGTCCTAAAAGCAAAATAAAATTTAAGAAGATATCAAATAAAAACCCTCTACCTCTCTATGCCCAAAACTCTCTCCTGATTCTCACAATCTGTTGATTAGAAAGTTTGTTGACTGAGCTTTGACAACTGATTACTGCAGGGATATGGCCTTCCTTCTAAGAGGAACTGCTCCTCTAGCCACCTGCCTAGTTGCTGCCTGTGGCTCCCAATAACCTACCTCCAACCTTCTAGACTGACATAAGACTTCTACTGGGAGTGGCAACTCTATCTAGTGTTCTGGCAGGTTGCGGGAGTTGGCGAGTGAATGTGTGTGTGGGGGGGGGGGGGGGAGTGGATTGGGTCACAGCATGCCATGATTGGGGGCTACTCTGGCTCTGTGCTTAAGAATTAGCCCTGGCAGTGCTTAGAGAAGTATGTGTGGTGCTGGGGATCAATTCAGAGTCAGTCACATGCAATGCAAATGCCTTAGCCCCCGTGCTCTCTCTCTCTCTCTCTCTCTCTCTCTCTCTCTCTCTCTCTCTCTCTCTGCCCTGTCTAATGTCCTTAACCTCCCCGTGCCTCCCAAACAGAGGCCTCACAGAGAGTATGAAGGATCAGGACAGGGGCGTGCTAAATTCTTTGTCCCTACCTGGCTCAGAAGGGTATAAAGCTGGTCACAGACCCTCATAGTTTCAGACACCCAGTCTGAAGGATTAAAGCCTCACCTCCCTGTGCAAGGATAGGCTCCTCCTCAAAACTTTCCCCAAGCCCCTCTGTGTAGTAAAACTTGCCTAGGATTAGGACACTGTAACTGAGACAATGATTCCACCTGATCTCAAGGGCTTATGCTAGAGTTGAGCAAAATGTCCTCACTTGATGCAGCCAACCCATCAGACCAAGCCAAATCAGCCTGTGGAGTCCAGAAACTTCATACCCAGGGTGAGGAGCTTCTCCCATAAGCAGAGGAGCACCTGCACAGGCATGGGGTCTCACAAGGAGGCACCTTATGTTAAACAACTCCCCCTCCCAACACACCCGTTATTATGTCTACATTTAATCACACTGGCACAGACACTAAGAAACTGACACACATAAACCCATATTCTGGTGGCCTCAGGACTCATGGCACGGGCCAGCTTGAGCTGGTTCGCCTGTGCAAACACCAACTCGTGCTGTTCTCTTCAAATTCTATTGTGAAAATCAAACACTTCTGAGCCTCTCAAAAGTCTGTGGTTCCTGTTCCACAAAGGGGCCTCTAGAACAGGAGAGGGCTGGCAGGAACCTTAGAGGAAATGAAGCTGGAAGACTTGTCTGAGAAGCCGCTTTCCCTGATCAGGGCAGGGGATGCAGTCACAAGCCAGTAGCCAGTCCCTGAAGCCCCTAATATCTGCCAGGAATCACAGGTAGGAATGCAGTGCCCACATCCCAGGCGCAGTTGGCTCTGCCAAGGATTGTGAAGCTCATACAACTAAGAGGGATGAGTCACTCAGCATGGTACTACATGTGGTAGTGAAGCAGAATTTGAACTCTGATTCTTGACCCACTTCTACAGCTTGGGCATTGAACAGAGCCATGTAGACACAACTATTGCTGTCAGGTGGGCTCTCACCAAGAAGGACTCCAGAGCAGTCTCTCTAACTAGACTGTGTTTGGTTGTCATTCCCAGTGCTCACAGGGGCAGATGCCCCTGGCTGGGCAGGACTTGCTGACTGCTTTGGGTCCGGGGTGGGAAGAGGGCACAGATGAGCAGTCAAAAAACTATGTTACTTGACTGGATTATTTCTAGGTGGGCAGTGGGATGGACACATCAGTTCCTTCCACACTCACTCCAATCACTTACTACGATCAGAGTAGAGGGCCTGGGAAAGAGAAAGAGAAGGATGGGGTAAGCATGGGTCAGGGTGGACACTGCCCCGGGAAAGTCCGCTAGCTAACAGACAGAACAGGGAGCCTGGGAATGGGAGCTGGTCCAGTGTCTCCGAGGCCCCGCCCACCTGCTCAGCCACTCCAGAGCCAGGAAGTCCATTGCACGCCCTGGGTGTGGGGGTGTGGGGGGTGAGCTTATGAGGGAGGGAGAGCCTGGCCAGCCCAGAGAAAGCTGGAGAGTTTCAAGGAGGTAGGTAGGTGGGCTGCTAGTTCTTGGAAGGGCCCTTTAATAAAAAACCCCCAAGCCTGACCACCTGGGAGGAAGGCTCACGTTCCCATGTGTAGCTGATAAGGGCCAGGAGATTCCACAGTTCAGGTAGTTCCCCCGCCTCCCAGGCGTTTTGTGGTCACCATTAATCATTTCCTCTAACTGTGTATATAAGAGCCCTTTTGCCAGTGAGCCCAGTACTCAGAGAGAAAGGCTAAAGTCCCCAGGAGGATGTGGCTGCAGAACTTGCTTCTCCTGGGCACTGTGGTCTGCAGCATCTCTGCACCCAGCCGCCCACCCCACTTTGTCACCCAGACCTCACAGCAGCATGTGGCTGCCATCAAGGAGGCCAGGAGCATTCTGAGACAGAATAATGATACTGATGCTGTGATGGTGAGTGAGGGCATGTGGGCTGTACCTGGGTCATCTTGCCACTCAGCGCTGGTCATTCCTGTCAGCTTGAAAACATGACTTTTTCCCTCTCTACAGAATGAAACAGTAGAAGTCGTCTCTGAAGTATTTGACTCGGAGGTAAGATGCTTCTCTCCGACACACCTTCCCGGTGTCCTCTGGTCTGGGGGAGGTCCATTTTAGATCGCCTCTCACAGGATGATCCACTTTCTCTCCAGTCACCTGGCTACCAGAGGGGGGTTGCTCAGGCCTTGCCCCTGTCATGTGAGCCTTTATTAGCTGAGCAGCCATGGACAGACCTAATATTCAAGGAGCCAGTGGTCACCTGGGCTCTGCTGGGTATGCAGTGATTTGTTCGTGAGACAGACGCTGTGGGCATAGGCACTTATTGCTGAAGGATGGTGGCTACTGAGGAGCACAGAGGGATTCAAGGATAGATCATTACTCACATTGCTCTGGGCACACCTTCTCCTTTCCTGGGGGTTGGGACCTTCTTAAAATGCCAGGTCAAAGGAATGTGGCTGGGCTTGCTGAGGGTTGAGGAGGTATCTAACTCATGCCCACAGCAAACAGGGAAATAGGACAGTATGCACAAGCGGTCCCCACTTCAGTCAAGTAGAAAGTCATCCCTCCCCTACCCCTGTCTCCCACCAGGTCCTACTCCTAGAAAACAGCAATAGGAATAAAAAGGAATGTTGGCGTGCTGTCCCGTGTCCCTAGGCTCTTGGCTAATGCTCACAGAGGAATTATCATTTCTTCCAGGAGCCAACATGCCTGCAGACCCGTCTGAAGCTGTACCAGCAGGGCCTTCGAGGCAGCCTCACCAGGCTCAGGGGTCACTTGGCTCTAATCGCCAGCTACTACGAGCAGCACTGCTCCTTCATCCCGGTGAGTGCCCATGTCAGGGCCCCAAGTGGGAAGGTCTCACTTGAAAAGGCTGAGGGGTTGGGAAAGGTCGGGGGTGGGAGGTCTTAAGTCATCACTATTTGGGACCCCAAAGGGTCTCTGTGTTAACAAAATTGTAAAGAGGGGCTGGAAAGACTGCACAAATGGTCAAGCACATGGCCAGAATATTCTAGGTCCTGAGTTGTTTTTTTTTTTTTTTTTGCTTTTTGGGTCACACCTGGCGATGAACAGGGGTTACTCCTGGCTCTGCACTCAGGGGTTACTCCTGGCTTTGCACTCAGGAGTTACTCCTGGCGGTGCTCAGGGGACCATATGGGATGCTGGGAATCGAACCCCCGGTCGGCCGCATGCAAGGCAAACGCCCTACCCGCTGTGCTATCTCTCCAGCCCTGGTCCTGAGTTTGATCTGCAACACCGCATGCCCCCAGGTGGCTCTGGGGCCCTTGCACATCACTATCGGTGACCTTTGTTTACAAATGAACACTATCCTCCCGTTGTTCATTGATTTGCATAAGCGGGCCCAGTAACCTCCATTTTGAGACTTGTTGTTACTGTGTTTGGCATATTCAATACGTCATGGGTAGCTTGCCAGACTTTGCCATGCGGGTGAGATACTCTCGGTAGTTTGCCGTTGTCTCCGAGGGGGGCGGAGGAATCAGCCAGGCTGGCTGCGTGCAAGGCAAACGCCCTACCACTGTGCTAAAAAAAAAAAAAAAAAAAAAAACCTGATTTGTAATGATTAACGCCTCCAGAGAGAGGGCAGCCCAGCTCAGCCCAGCTCTTAGCTTTATCTCTAAGATTTAAACCCATGGAGCTGTGGTGCCCAGAGAAGTCCCCAGTAGCAGCTGACGCTGCTCTTGTCGCTGTGATCATTCTCATTAATGAGATCAGAGTTGAAGCAAACCTAAGGAAACTCAGATTCTGCCTAAGGTCCAAAGGAAGTTCCAGGGCCCAACTGGCACAACTCAAAGGGACTTTCCCCTTGGCTGGCCTCATCTGGGGTGCCTGAATGCAGAAGAGCAAGGAAAGGGAATAAGATCTCTAGTCCTAACTCCTGTCTCTTCTGAGCTCCCGGAACTGGCCTCAGCCCTACTGCTCTGGCCTGGGACCAAAGAGGAGGTGCACTGCCTTCCCAGTAGACCAATCTCAGGCTGGCACTTTGTCAGGCCTCTGGCCCCGCCTGCCATTGGCACAGCCATATACCCTGTGGGTGACACATGGATGACAACATGTCACCTGACCCAGGTCAGCAGGCTGGCTCCAGCCAGCCCTTTTGTCTTCAATTCTAAGATATAGCAAGAAAAACCAGTAATTTCCCCATGCTACTCACTCATGTACCTGGATTCACGTTTTCTTTTTTCTTTTCTTTTTTAAGGAATCTTCCTGTGAAACCCAGATAATCACCTACAAAGGTTTCAAAGAGGACCTGAAATCTTTTCTCAATGAAGTGGCCTTTGACTGCAAGAAATCCAGTTTAGAAGACTGACAGGGCACTTCTGCCTCAGGGGCTCGCCCCCCAGCGTGCTGGCCCCCACCCTCACAAAGCCAAAATGAGGGTCTTCCCCTGGGAAGGACCAGGATGATGTTCAGGGACACAGACTTGCTCTGAACCACACTGAGCCTCAGGCAGACATGGCTGCAAAATTGGGGACAGGGCTGTTCCACTGTCAAGAAATGTAATATTTATTTATATATTTATGTATTTTAATATTTATTTATTTATTTATTTAAAAGTTATGGTTCATATTTATTCAAGATATTTTACTATAATAATAAATTATTAAAAGCCTGTTTTATTGGTGCAGTTTTCCACTTTGTTTGCAGCTATGAGCAAATGTAGAAAGTGCTTTTGACCCCTCGGGCAGGGCCCCAGTGGGCACTGTCTGAGGAGCAGTGTTGTTACTTCTCCCTGCTTCTCAAGGGCTCCCACCATGAGAGAGTTTTCCAGGTTTGCTTGGAAATCCCAGAAGGAGCCTGGCTCCATAGACAGGGTATCACCATCCTGGAGGACCAGGGGGTCATTGCGGTTTAGCCAGTCACTAACTGAACTATCAGGAGACCTGGACCCTCAGGCTACACTGGCCCCTCACTCTCAAGTATCCTCAGGAGAGCAAGCACACAGAATAGGAATTCAAAGAAAAAGTACCGAATGCAGGGTTCAGTATACTTGGCAAGTTTCCCCAAAGTGGGCATGTCTTATTCTTGGAGAGTCAAAATAATCTGTTAGTACAAAATTCTAGTATAGCATTTTTCTGAGGTGGTTTTTAGTTCTTTTTGATGTTTTGCATGCAATGAACTTTCTCCTAAAATCCATGACCTTTAGCCCAAGAAAATGGCAGCTCTCTGCCTTCCCATATCTTTACCAGCAGAGCTTCCATCTTTGCTTCAAAGCCTAAACCCTGGGGTCCATTTGGATACTGTGAGGAAAGAGGTGTGTCCCCTACTATCAGGCAAGCATTGCGTTCATCCTTTCATGTCTCCAACTGGGCATGGAGACACTGGCTAAATGCAGCTGTTGCCCTTTCTGGCTCTTTCCTTTTGTTCTCCATGTTCTGGTCAGCACCTGCCTATAGTCCAGGCCAGAGGTCTGACCCTACCAGGCTAAAAAGGTTGCGACTCTAAATGTCATTACAAATAGTAATTCATAGACCAAACCTGAATTTCAGCAAAAACATGACACCATGAAGTGGGCTGTGGTCATAGAAAACGCATGAAAAGCACTTCTTGCCCAGTGATAAGGTCCTCTCTGTTTTCCTCGTAAGCCAGTGATGACTGATAAGAGATAGAGCATTTCCTTAGCCTAACGTATATAGGTACCCCTCCCCATAGAAATGCTGCCAAGCTCTGAGTTCGGATCAATGTGGAGCCATCTTCAAGATACCATGCAGCTGTATATGCTCCTGGCTTGCGTGCTCTGGAGCTTGGGAAGCCATTCTGCTCCAACAGAGATAGGCAGCGCATCTCCCTACGACAACCACACGGCAGTTTGTGCTGAGATTCAGAGAGAACTTTCAGCCGAAAACACTAAGTACAATGTAAGCCTGGGTCTTCAGCAAACATCACTTTGCTCTCAGTGGCCCTTTATGTCTCTGACTTACACTTCTGCTTCCAGGGTTCCTTCACAAAGCCCCAGAACACCACTGAGGTAAGGAGCAGTGACCCCTTGGGCACCCAGAGCAGAGATAATAATATGGGGCATTAGAATGAGAAATCTGGGTTCCAGGCAGCAGAGTCTGGGGAGGGAGCCTATAGCTCAGCCAACAAATAAATCAATGGCCAGGACTGGTTCCTCTGAGCTCCAGAGTTGCCTGTCCCTAGAAGAGCACTGCATAGCTTGCAGGTCTCCATGGGAGAATCCACACTGAGCTGCACTGGAAGCCTGGGTAGCATCTGGCCGGAATGAGTTGAGATGATGAGGCAGGGTGGGGGATACTGGGATGAGTCTGCTGCTTCTCTGTTATATAACCCACTTTCCCAGCGTCCCTGCCCCATTTCAGGAGCACTGCTACGGCCAGTTCACAAAGGATTTCATCGCCACCCTGGAGAAACTTATGAACTATAACCAGAAAGACATTCACATACAAAAGATTTATAAGAACATGAAAATACTAACTAGAATCTGCTCCAAACTAAAAGTAAGTTACCGTTTATGTTTAGAAGAACCCCTGATATCATTTCTCTGCCTCCACAGCCAGGGTACAGCAGGGCCAAGGACCCTCACTCACCATATGTGAGACCTTGGGTACTACTTTCTGATTCAAAGAAAGTCAACTCACTGCAGAGGCTGGGGTGAAGGGTGACAGGTTCAAGCCATTTGGGCTGTGGCTATCCCCAGGGTCAGTGTGCACACCAGATCAGAAGCAAGTCAAAGCAGGGCTGGTGATGGACTCAGCACAGGAGGCAAGGGCATTCCATCCAAGATGGCTCTGGTTTGCTCACTTCTGAACTATGGAGTTCCGTGGGAATTCACAATGCATGGAAGGCAATGGTGGTGGGAACATTACTAAGGACTTCCCGCTCTCTACTTCTTGCCCTATGTCTTTGAGTTCCCACCCCTCTCCTCCCTGTTCTGTTCTGGAAGCTCTGAGGCCTCCCCACACCCGGAGGGCAACCAGTGTCCTGTGCAGACAGTGAGGAGGGTCTATCCAGGGAACTGCCAAGAGAGGGGTTTACAGTTTAATTTTTTTCTAAGAAAATTTTCTTTCTAGCCAACAGAATCACCTAAGAACTGTATTACTGAAAGGAGTGATTTCTCAAAGTTCAAGAAGGCCTTACATGATGTTGTCATGTACATAGAAGGATGGACATCCTGTCAAAGGATGAGAGACAGCCTCTGGGACCCCATCCTCTCAGTCAAGCCCTGTGTATGTGGTTAGAACCACAGGAAATGGCACGGAAGGACCTTCCAAAACAACGCACAGGTGGGGTGGGATGCGAGTTTGCTGGCTCTGGGTCAGCAGATGAAGGCAAGGGTGGGGAAGGGAGGCAAAATGCCTGAGGAAACACTTCTGTAATTATTGCTGCAATAAAACCAGGGTGTTGAAATGGTGGAGAGAGAGAGAGAGATGTCATCAAATCTAGACTCCCTGGGGCCTTGATATACTAGGAGGGGTGTGGGGAGTGTGTGGAGTTGGTAGCCCCATATAACTCAGACTCCTGAGCTAGAGGGTGAGGAGGGGGTGTCCCCTGAGGAAAGTGAGTGGAAACCTCACATCACCTATCACTTGCTGCACCTTCAATGACGGTGGTGACACAGCAAGAGCTTCATTAACGTCTGTGCACTTATTACTATACCCTTCTTCCTGTGGCCTTCAGAACTTAAGTCCTCCCCAGCTTCCATTGGGGCCCATTCAAGGTTAAGACTTAAGGATTAAGGGCTGTAGCTTTTCCTCTGTTTCCTAGAGAACTAGTCTAACTTATGCCCGACATCCTCCACATGCCCCAGGGCCCAAGAATGGTACCACAGATGTGTCAGGTCCAGTAAACAACTCAGGAAAATGGGGAGTTTGTAGCTAATCACAGGACTGGGCACAGTGAGGGGAGGGATCTAGATCGGGGCAGTAGGGTTGACAGGGACTAGGACATATCTAATCCCTCTTTTCTTCTAGACCAACAAAGGCCTTGTCGTTTCAAAGTAGAGCCACTCACCAAGCCTCATAACTCCCTCCATGTCTAAGTGACATAACTGTTCTCTCCCCATTACCAAAACTCTCATTCCTCACCCTGTGAATAGGGTTTTTGTCTATGTTAAATCCTGTAGTTGATCAGGTCCTAATATGCTGCCATATTGGCTGCTAAACTCTGATTCCCTACCCTCAATTCTCACTTTAACTGACCTTTTCAACATTTTATTGAAGGTAACAGCAATCCAAACAGCTTCCAACAGTACAAAGCTTTCAGAACATGATTTTCTGAACCAAACCAGAATAAAGATCTATTGTTCTTGAGTCTAATGGGCTTTCTAGCAGTAACCACAATTTGGCCTGGGGCAGACCTGCAGAATGTCTGCAACATCTACTCATTATTAGACTTGCCTGGCTCTAAAGCCTCAGACTATTCCTGCCAGTACGCATGGACTGCTCACTCCTGTCCTTTGCCCTGGGAATTCTAGACCCCTCTCTACTCATTTCCCCCTGGAGATGTTACATCAGAATGCAGGCCAGCAGGTGTGACCAATTTAAGTTGCCAATTTATCCTAGAACATGGAGTGTGTCTCTCTCATTCAGGTTGAGATCTGGGGCTGAGAGCAATTTCAGCCCTGAGACAGCTCAGAGCATGGCTTCTAGAAGCCAGTAGATCCCTGTATTGGGTCGACCGCACAGATACCATGGGGTTCTCAAGGCCATTCCTCTCTGCAGAAGCAGCAGAACCAGCATGGCAGGGTGGGGACACTGGGGAGCATGGGCAGGAAAACCTACCACTTGGTTAAATCTCTTCTTAGCCTGAGGCAACACCTATAAATAGTTACTGGCTTGCATCTACATCCTGTTATCCCACTGCATGGTCAGAAGAACAGGGCATGCATAAGCCTGATTTGCCACTATCTTGATGTGTGACTTTGGACAAGTACTTCAGTCTCTTAGCCACAGTCCACAAAGTCAGGGTATAGTCTAGCCCCCAAGGTCAGACCACAGACTATAGCTTTTGTCAAGATAGAAACTCTCAGAGCTTCTGTTTCAATACTAGGGAACTTGAGATTGGTAAGAGATTTTCTGCTGTCTCTTCTAGTAAATAGCAATGTTGACATGATACAGGTTAGAAAGTGACTATACATATGGAATAACTACCCTCATTTACATTTACAGCCTTAAGTCCTGGTAAAGTTGACTAAACAGTCACCCATAAAGAGACAGAGCAGTGGGAGTCACTAGGATTCCCCACGTGTCCTTGTTTCCCTAAAAATCATGCTTAGATTTGGACTCTAATGCAAAGAAGTCTGGCAGGGACTGAAAGCAGATTTAAAGAAATCTCAGGATTTAAAGAAAA